ACAATAATAACAATAATAACAATAATAATAATAATAATAATAATAATAATAATAATAATAATAATAACAATAATAATAATAATAATAATAATAATTATAACAATAATAATAACAATAATAATAATAATTATAACAATAATAATAACAATAATAACAATAATAATAACAATAATAATAATAATTATAACAATAATAATAACAATAATAATAACAATAATAACAATAATAATAATAATAATAATAATAATTATAACAATAATAATAACAATAATAATAATAATTATAACAATAATAATAACAATAATAACAATAATAATAACAATAATAATAATAATTATAACAATAATAATAACAATAATAATAACAATAATAATAACAATATTAATAACAATAGTAACAATAATAATAACAATAGTAACAATAATAATAATAATTATAACAATAATAATAACAATAATAACAATAATAATAACAATAATAATAACAATTATAACAATAATAATAACAATAATAATAACAATAATAATAACAATATTAATAACAATAGTAACAATAATAATAACAATAGTAACAATAATAATAACAATAATAACAATTATAATAATAACAATAATAACAATAATAAGAATACTAATAACAATAATAACAATACTAATAACAATAATAACAACAATAATAACAATAATAACAATAATAACAACAATAACAACAATAATAAGAATACTAATAACAATAATAACAATAATAACAACAATAATAACAATAATAACAATAATAATAATAACAACAATAATAATAATAACAATAATAATAACAATAATAACAATAATAATAACAATAATAACAATAATAACAACAATAACAACAATAATAAGAATACTAATAACAATAATAACAATAATAACAACAATAATAACAATAATAACAATAATAATAATAACAACAATAATAATAATAACAATAATAATAACAATAATAACACTAATAACAATAATAACAACAATAATAACAATAATAATAATAATAATAATAATAATAATAATAATAATAATAATAATAATATAACAATCAAGGAATCAACATTCATCAGAAACTACTACTGTAATATATTATTCATTCATATCATCTTGGGCGAGGAAAAGTCGAACGAACGTATCACCAGACGCAGTGTATACATATGTGTGTCACTGAAGGGTAGAGGAGAACGCCTGAATGCTGTTAACCTGGAGTTTTATGGCGACTAGAAGTGTGTGGACCAAGAGAAAGGGAAAGTGCCCTGACGAGACCCTACCTGACCACAACAATACTCAAGGATTCTCAATACTTCGTTCTCTAATTTCTTCCCTCCCGTGAGTCAAGACATCATAAGGAGCCTACCTAACGAACCTTATCACGCGAGGGTAAACGACCAAACTTACACTGAGACTCTTACTTATACAGAATGTGTTTCTTTATCGCACCCCAAGTTGAATGGAAACCCTTCCCAAAAATTATCGAACGAATACCTAAGGATGTGGACCTTGTTTGACTGGCCAGACACCCACCTGAGTCACTGTCATCGGTACAGGTTAAGGAAAGATCACCTGTCTCACCCTGTCTCACCCTGTCTCACCCTGCCAACCAACCTACAGACGGGGACGACGAGAGAAACCCACCATGTCCACAAGCTGACCAAACTGAGAAGAAAATCATAAAATAACTTTGATGCAATAAAGGTTTAAATAAATCATCATACACAAAGGGTTAAATCATCATAATCAAAGGGTTAAATCATCATACTCAAAGGGTTAAATCATCATACTCAAAGGGTTAAATCATCATAATCAAAGGGTTAAATCATCATACTCAAAGGGTTAAATCATCATACTCAAAGGGTTAAATCATCATACTCAAAGGGTTAAATCATCATAATCAAAGGGTTAAATCATCATACTCAAAGGGTTAAATCATCATACTCAAAGGGTTAAATCATCATACTCAAAGGGTTAAATCATCATACTCAAAGGGTTAAATCATCATACTCAAAGGGGTAAATCATCATACTCAAAGGGGTAAATCATCATACTCAAAAGGGTAAATCATCATACTCAAAGGGTTAAATCATCATACTCAAAGGGTTAAATCATCTGGTTGAGATTCAGTATGGGATTAATTACTTCTCCTAACAGGGTCAGTATCGTCTTCAAGGTTACAACTCCATCACTTTATACTTTCAGCAAAAAAAAAAAAAAGATTCGATATTTTATCTACAACACACAGTAATAAATTCCTCCCTGACATTTCTCCATGATCGTGTTACTTTCACTGACTTGACATATATTGAAAATTTAAATATTATTACTCAACATTCTTTCTGCGTTGATTTATCTAACATTTATATATATACATATTTATAGAGATATAACCCCTAAATTATAAGGTGATTCAGTGGGATAAGTTGTGAATTGTATTGGTAAGTTGTGTTGTGGTTTGTCCTTAAGCCTCTGTGTGAATTTGGTATTGTTATTGTACGATACTTTGAGATGGTGCTCCAGGCATCATCTCCCAGCCATCATCCAATCACAATCCAGAAGACAGTTGATGAAGCCTGGCTGACGTACGATACTTGGTGTTTATTTCCATATATAATCACTATTACCCGTTTTAGAACCGTCAGAGAGAGGACCACCACACCAATCACCCCTCAAAACAGATTTAATAACGACAGACATACAATTACTTAGCTAATGAGACCAAAGCTAGAGAGAGACAGACGCAAGGAGAGAGGAGGTCAGGTTAGTTGCGTTGGGTCAAATCCATTCACCTAGGCGTTGTCTTCTTGTCAAAAACTGAAGATATTTGATATTTTGTACTGATGGAGTTATAAATATATGAAAAAACACAAAATCTATTTAGAATTAAAAAAAAAAAATCTAGCGATATATTCCTGATAATGTTGGTTATTTTTATTGATATTATTCCTTTACGTTGGATAGGCCTATGACAAAAATATATATATATAACAAAATATTACCTACTTTAACCCACCAGAGAGGTTTTAATTATAAGAGTACAATTTAATCCACTGAGTGAAATATCTTTACCCTTTCAGTACAATGACTTAACTCCTTAAAGTATGATGATTTAACCACTTGATTATGATGATTTAACTCCTTGATTATGATGATTTAACCCCTTGAGTGTGATGATTTAACCCCTTGATTATGATGATTTAACCCCTTGAGTATGATTACTTTACCCCTTGAGTATGATGAATTTAACCCCTTGAGTATGATGATTAACTCAAGTTTACATTAACAGCCTTTTTAATTTACTGCTAAGTTAGGTTTGGTTATCTTAGGTTAGGTTAGGTTAGGTTAGGTTAGGTTAGGTTTGGTTATCTTAGGTTAGGTTAGGTTAGGTTAGGTTTGGTTATCTTAGGTTAGGTTAGGTTAGGTTAGGTTAGTGTCATCAAGGGTATTCAAATTGCCATGAACGTGTGTTAAATCAACCTCTACTCTACGTATGTGTATGAATAAACTCGTATGCAAAATGGAATAGATTTATTCAACTCTTCTGACCTAAAAAATAAATAAATACAGTAAATATAAGACAAATAAAAAGAACTATGCAATAAATAAGAATAAAAGTTATGAAAATACTGACCTGTTAAACGTGATGTTAAAGAAGTAACAGTAGAAGTTTATTACCCTGAAGAGTCATGCACCTCTCTGATATATCACATTTTTCTGATCTTATCCCTGGAACTATGTCCTGGGAGAGTGTGGAGCAATGATAGTAAACTCTGTAAGGTGCTAGTGAAAGTAACATTATTATGGAAATGTCAGCTGTGAGGTTTATTTTGGCTTTCAGGCTATATTTGTTTGGGGGGGGTCGAGGCCGCCATGTTGTCTCTTACATCAGGAAAGGTAAGTTCAACCTCTCGTAAAAATAATATTAATTCATATTTCATGCTGTATTATGGACAGATGATAGAGATAGGTTTCATTTAACAGTTTAAAGTAATTAATTTTCTTTAGGTTGTTTCTGTGTGATAATTAGTTAAGAGATAGTAGTGATTTCTCATTTGGTAAAGAGTTTCTTCAGTTCATGTTGATCTCTAGAGTGTTGGAACTTTCTTGATCTCATCCAAGAACAATCATGGTATTTTATTTCTTCTATACATGATAACATTTCCAATCCTGCAGTAAATTATGAAAGAGGAACGGATTTTACAAACTTCATTCACTATTTTATATTTCCATTTTGTTTTAATTCAGGGTAGGTTTCCATGGTAATGTGTTCGGTTGTGTATAAGATCTCATAAGCCACAGCCAAGCTCTCAGCTGGTGAATTTATCAATCATACTAAAGGTGTTAAATCAGTCATCCTGTTAAACCATCATTATAGGGTTAAACTCGTCCTCTTAATCAATCGTTCTTAAAGGGTTAATGTTGACGAGTTGGCCTGTCATCACCCACAACTTAACCAAAAGAGTGACGCACTGAATAACATCTCACGGCATCAGCTGTCGGAGTTAGGATCAGAGTGCACAGGAGTGGGGAGTGAAAGAGCGGGATCTGAGTGCACAAGAGTGGGGGAGTGAAAGAGCGGGGTCTGAGTGCACAAGAGTGGGGGAGTGAAAGAGCGGGATCTGAGTGCACAAGAGTGGGGGAATGAAAGAGCGGGATCTGAGTGCACAGGAGTGGGGGAATGAAAGAGCGGGATCTGAGTGCACAAGAGTGGGGAATGAAAGAGCGGGATCTGAGTGCACAATAGTGGGGAATGAAAGAGCGGGATCTGAGTGCACAAGAGTGGGGGAGTGAAAGAGCGGATCAGAGTGCTCAGGAGTGGGGGAGTGAAAGAGCAGATCAGAGTGCACATAAGTGGGGAATGAAAGAGCGGATCTGAGTGCACAGGAGTGGGGGAGTGAAAGAGCAGATCAGAGTGCACAGGAGTGGGGGAGTGAAAGAAAGGATCAAAGTGCACATGAGTGGTGGCAGGACAGTAAAAAATAGTAGTCTGGTTGCATGGAGTTTATTAACAAGTAGACCACAAGCGGTGGATTGTGTCCAGTGATCTGGATGCTGGTCGATGGCCCCTAAGCAGTAGTCCTTAACTATTTACAAAAAAATATTGAGTGTCCTAGAGATGTCCGAAAAGATTATGAGGGGAATATGTCCTAGGAGAGTGTCCGTGTGGGTAAGCTGGGGGTCGTGTCCTGAAGGATGTCCATGTGGGTAGGGTGGGATAGTGTTCTTGGCAGGTGTTCTCGAGGATAGGTGTGTCGTGTGGTAGTGGAAGACAGCTGGGAAAAGATTCCTTGCTTGCTGTACTTTACCACTGTGGTATACATCTCCTTTCCTAAGCGAGGGAGTGTTGGGGTGTACTGTGAGGTGTACAGTATACCTTAAGTGTATGGGTGTCGTTTGGTTGGACATGTGAGAGTGAAGGCCTATATTGTGATTGCGATAATTCGGACACGTTTAAGAACGAAATATTAGAGGTGCTGACCAGTGGACTTCCAGTCATTTGAACTCGTAAAGCAAAAAAGATAAACTATTTAGGGAAAATAATCTATCTGGTTTGGGGTAATTTTACACGTAGATTTCTAGTGTTCTCGATGACTTTAGGAAGTGACATCACCGAGACGCAAGTGTAATACACAGACCATCCAAGGACAGGTGCTCAGCGGTAGTCGTAGGGAAGGGTCGTGATCAACCCAGGTGTGTGTGTGTCGTACATCTTTAGAATGGTTTAATCAATCCTTTCTCCTTGGTCGTTCCACTGGGCGCCCTGAGCTTTGAGTTGGGCCACGATCTGCAGGAGCTCCTCAACGTGGGATGGGTTGGGAGGAGCCACTGGGATGAGGGGAGAATCGACCCTGTAGCCATTTTCGTCAGCCTCGAAGATAAATTCAGCGAGTGTGCCATCGTCCAGGGGGAAGCTGGCGAAGAAAAAGAGAACGCTTTACTCAGAACCCCGTGACGCTCGAGTAGTGCTACATGTTCTTACACTACCTCGATAACAACAGTAGCTCAAAATCCCAGACAATTATTTGTGCCATAGGTGAATATTGTTAAAGGTCAAAATGGAAGAACAATATATACACACAGATACAGGTACTGCAGACACAGAAGATACAGATAGACATAGAGGCTAGAGATAGCTAAATAGGGTGTAAGATGTTGAAGATGCAAGTTGATACATAGAACACCAGTAAATTTTAGAGGTACGGGTATGTAACTCTCACCTGAAGGAACCTGTCTTGATCACAGCACCTGCGGCACCAGGGGTTCCACGTACGCTCTGCCTGATACCGTTCTCAGTCTCGAATTCATAGAAGTAGTTGCCTGCACCATCATCCTCGCGATTATCTGTTATGGTCTCGATGATCTTGGGGGCCTGGGGAGCCGCAAGGGCGATGACGGCGAGGGAGGCTAGGATAATCTGGGTGAGGAGAGAGGGAGGAGAGCTTTGTTTATACTGCAGGAGGAGTGATGCCCTAGGACATAGGTGGTTGGCTGGGACCACTTGCGTTTCCGAAGAGTAGTGATGTTGGACAAGTGTGTGTTGATTGTTTTGGGAGTTGTGGTAGAGCAGTTCTGCCATGGACTACTAACCATTCAAGCAAATTATAGCGGTGTATAATGTTAAAAGTCTGTTTATACACATATACACTGACTCCTCATTATTAAGTTATAGCAAAGATGACTATGCATTAAATGTTTACAAGTATATATGCATACACTCAAAAATAAAGATATGAGCATACACATTCTCAAACTAGTGACCTATATCATCGAAAACCATATCGTAAAGTATACATATAGGCCTACATACAGTCACCACAACACACACACATTAATGGATATACTTCCAAACCATTTAACTGAATCATAGAAAACTACATATACAAGCAAAAACTTATACACAAACAAACAGGAGGAAACATCCCCTTCAAAACACGAGGCAGTGAACAACCCAACTACCCTTACTGCCCTCCCAGCTTCCCCGGTGTACTCACGAGCTTCATGTTGGCTGTGTGAGGGAGGGAGGACTGTGGTGTGTCTTGGTGAGTGAGGTCCTGGCTTATATACACCCAGGCCCACGACCACCTCACCTCCTCCTCCCTCCCTGGTTCCTCTCCTCACCTCTCGTGCCTTCACGGGGACTTCTTGTGCCTGTGGGCGAAGCCAAGGTCGTGCTGGTGCTTCTGCGTTTTTTTCCCCTAAACTTGTAGGACAGGTTATAGGTCATTTCTGCCTGTTGCCTGTTCCGGCCTCTGTCTCTATGGTTTAAAGGATATCCGAGTCCATTTATAATGAAGTATACTTGAAAGGCATGTGACTGCCGTTGTGCTTGTGCGTTCTGTTAAAACTTACAGGGCAGGTTATGCTTCTCCTCCGCTGCGTCTACATGCCCGGCCTCAATAATTGCAGAGTAATTGAATCACCTAACGCAAGAGACTGTACAACATGAACGGTGTACGTCCACGCCTTAGTGAATCGGCGTTCACCT